GGAATAGAGCCGGGGGTATGTGTTACAATTTTGTTAGCTATACTAACAATCTCAAATTTGTAGTTCGTTCACCGATACAAATAAGTTTTCTATAACTCGGGGAGCGAAAATGTTGTTTTCATTGTTGCTAACCTCGCTTTTTTGGTTCTTTTATTCATCATTTAACAATTTTTGGTTAAAGGGCGGGGAAGAGATTGTGGAGCTCAAGAAAACATGGGCATATTCTTCTCCTCTACACCTCTCAGTTTTTTACTGTTCTATGGCGAAAATAAATTAAGTGAAATTATGATTGAAGCGATAACGATGGCTGCATTTCTATATTTATCCTCACGTTTTATTTATAGTTGAAGATCACGCGCCCAGAACGCACAGACACAAATGCCGCCAATGAATGTACTCATACAGCGCAATTTATTCTGTACCCGCAGATCCCCAGACAGCATTTTGTGGCAAGTTGTACAGTAAACATGCTGACCGTGTAATCACGTATTTAAGCTTTGTAAACTAATAGTTTCGGATCTTGGAGTTTCTCTATGAAAATCTGCACGAAAAGTGTACAAAAGCCTTTACAGGCCTGTGGAGTCGCGCTCATTTTCGTCGTTGCTAAACTCGCGCTTGACGCAAACGTCCTCCTTACGAAGAATCTTGTAGCCTGGTCTGCACAGTGGCCGTATGCGATTGCTATTGCTGCTCGTTTTCCAATGTGGAATTTCAAGTGAAACGGTATTTGCCCAGACTGCAGTAAAGAAACCGTAAGTAGTACAATATCAAATATTTCAAATTGGTTCCGTAATAACAAATAAATAGTAAATGAAAACAAAACGGGCTCAATGCAGTTTTCCATTTCACGTAAACAGCTCTGTACTTCACTGAAAATGAACGGTGTGCCATTGACTGATGTTCAAGTAAAAAACTTTTTAAGTCATTCAATTCAGTCAAATCTTAAATGGATCGTCCATTTAAATGAATTGAACACTAAATTAAGTTCTTTATGCCACACTTTCAGAATTCTTTCAAATTCAGCTAGCCTTCATGCTGCCCGTTATGTATATTTCGCGAATGTTCATTCCCGCCTGAGATATGGCGTAATATTCTGGGCAAATACATCTTATAGCTCCGAGACTTTTCGATTACAATAAAGAATTGTACGAATAATAAGCAAATCCCACCCACGTGATCCATGTGAGCATCTCTTTTTTAATCTAGGTATCTTACTATTACCTTGTCTCTTCATATGTGAATCAGTGGTTTTTGTTAACAATTACTAAAGGGCGGGAATTTATTTTGAGCAAACGCCAATGTCTATAACAACAACACTCGACATTTTAATCATATTCATCAGACGACAGTATTAGCAGCTCTCACACACAAAAAATTCACACACGATACACGTACATTATTTTACAACACCTTGCCAGACGCTGGACGATTAAATTATATACAAATGTTTAAGTCTCAAATAAAATATTTTCTTCTGCATTACTATTTCTATACAACTCGAGACTATACCAAGTATCCAAAAGAAAAGTAATAATAATTTCAACAACGACATTTAGTGTATTATTTACCATTTTGATTGTATAGTTCAAAGAACCTGCAACATGTATTGTACTTCAGCTTCAGTGTCAATGACCCCCTTCTCAATCAGATTTTCGTCCAGTTTCCCTGATCCTTGAGCAAATGCTGAGATGGCCCCTTGTTTTGCTTCTGTGTTGTATATTAGGTTAGCAATAGCACCGCTTGACAGAGTCGCCGTACTGCGGGCTAGTATGTAACCTCAGTACGCATGTAACAATACAAGACAAGGTATGTACTAGTTTCCCCAATAAACATTTTGTATTGAGGAAACGAGTACATACCTTGTCTTGCATTGTTACATGCGTACAAGTGTTTATTTAAACCTAACATGGCGTTGTTGTAAGTACGGCATGTTCTCAACAATAGGTTCGAATGCAAAATCAACAAAATAAAAAGTTGCCTGATATAATTCTGTGCCAATAAGACAGATCATTCGAACAAAGAACAACTACGCAAACAATGGAATCGCTAAAGCAGCCTAAGCCGATGGCCATGGAAGGTGCTGTGTTGTTGGAATCAACTGGCAAAAATTCAAAAACAGTTTCCAGTTATATTGTGTTGCAACGTTATATTGTGTTGCAAGTCCGAAGTAAAATATTTTCTGCTGCACAACTATTTCGATACAGTTCGAGAGTATACCGAGTATCTAAAAGGAAACTAATATTAATTTCAACAACGACATATAGTGTATTATTTACCATTTAGATTGTATAATTCTAAAGAACCTGTAACAAGTATTGTACTTCAGCTTCTGGGTCAATGACCCCTATCTCGATCAGGTTTTCGTTCAGTTACTCTGATCCTTAAGCAAATGCTGAGATGACCCCTTCTTTTGCTTCAGGCCATAAATGTACCTTCAAATTAGCGTCTCCCCATAGCACGTCACACACAATTTTTAACTTTTTTTGACGTAAATAAATACATAAATAAACCCTCGTTAATTTGCTAACTTACTGAGTGATTCCTTTAGTTAACGTTTCTAGTTTTTATCATTACATAACTTTCTTTACTATATTTACTAGGTTACAACAATATTTTTACATCTCACCCCATCTGGGTCAGGTTTTCATCCCGTTTGCCGGATCCATTCAGCAAATGCCGAGATGGCCCCTTGTTTTGCTTCTGGACGTAAATGTAGCTTCACTATGCACTCGTTTTGATGAACTCTCCTTTTGCTTGTAATGGTAGGAGTAGAGGTAAGGGCGAGTGACTATTTTGTTAGCAATGCAGAAAAATGGTACTTGCAATTCGTTTACTGATGCAAATACGTTTTCTATAACTCGGGAACGAAAATCTCTATTTTTTTCAAATATTGCTAATCTCGCGCTTCTTTAAAAAAAATTATTTATTTTCAACTTTTACTCATCTTTCAACTATTAACAATTAAAATGACGTGAAGGGATTCAGAAACTCGAGAAAACGTGCGCAGATGATCTTCTCCCTCATACGTCATATTGTTTTTCTGTTTTTCTGGACTAAATAAATATAAATCTCCATGTCACAATGATTTTAGACTTAACGAGGCATATGACCTTTTTCAGGCTGTGCCATTTATCCTTAAGGTAGAAAATGAGTCTGATTCTTCTTTATTAATTTAGCAGTATCTAATAAATTGTAGCGATGTAAGAAATACGACCGTCCTATTTCTTGATAAGCATAGTTTTTATTACAACGGAGCTAATATTTTCATGACAACTCTAATCAAAAATGCACCTTGAGATTGGTATTCTCAATTCAACTTAGTACTATATGAGTTAGGACAGATATCCCAGAACTCAAGAAATCGTGCACGCATTCCTCCTCATTGTACTTCACATTTTTTAAAATTTGGGTTTGACGTTAAATAAGTGAGTAAATAATGTCCCATGAAGTACAGTCGAATCTCAGCAATTCTAAAATGATTGAAATCCTAAATAGTATCAACCTTATCAACCTTTCGTTAACAAAACCTGATTCGAAAAAAATACAATGTCTTTTTTTTTTAATAAGGCTTTGCATCTAACTTAAACATTTGGGTAGGAAACGACTTTATAGAAATAAAGCAACGTTCAAATTTATTATCATAAGTACAGAGTAGTTCAGTTTGGACTGTTTGTGTAACGTTTACGTTCGTGAAGGTTTCATTGCTCGTGCTACATAAAAGTGCTTGCATAGTATAATGCAATTTCTGTTATTCTGACTCCGATTCAAGTTTGTTTTGCATTAGAGATGAATGGTAATATCTTCATTGCTGCTACTTAAAGAGATACCGTTATTAATGTGACCGAGGCACGTGGACATGCATTGTCTGTATGTGTGTACTATCAGTGAGTTAATTAATGAGTAATTGAGTATGAGAGCTACGTTCGTGCACAAAACCCATTTTCTATAAACACTGTTTTGCTGAACTAATCACTGAAGCTATGATTATGCAACTTACATAATCATTTTAATATTTTATCTGAAAATAAAAGTATTAGAGCATTCAAAAGGTACTGACTGTGTAGAAGTGAAAGTGTCTACTTTTAGGATGTATTTTCATTTCTTTTAATTTGCTAACTGAGAAGTTCCGCCAATTCATAAGCCAGATTAAAAATGATAATTAATCAGTTTTACTAATCATAAAGTATACTACGTTCTTGCCTATTGAGAGTTTCTAATTAGAGAAGAAAGTACTTATATTTAACTTTCCTAACAATACTGAAGGCAATTTAGATAAGGCAAAATAATCTTTCTGAAAATGCAAAAACCCAGTCTCGAAAAAAGTCCCTATGCATATTGGTGAAGCTAGAGACGGGGGTAGAGAAATGGACCTCTGGGAGGGGGATGGGGAAAGACGATAACGAATATAAAGTTTAAAATTTTTCTATTGTGGGTAAAATCTTTAATTATTATATATAGAAGAGATAGAAGCCGCGAATGAGCAGGCGATGGAACAGGCGGACGGGCACGCGTGTGTTCCCGTGTGGCAGCGGCGGCTGTAGCGGTAGCGTTCCCGGGCGGCGGCGGCTGTGGCACTCTGCCAGCGCGGTCGCCGCCGCCGCCGCCGCCACCACCACCACTGTCGCAGAGCTCGAGGCCGCTTGTGCTCAGAGTCGCTTGCTTATTACTTGCTGCCGTATGCCCAGCGTAGAGCGGGCATGCCGCCTTAGGGAGCTTGCTAGCTCGCTCGTTCACTCACTTGCTCGCCGTGCGGGCGCTGTCTTGCCTCCAAACTGAAGCTTTCTCTTTCCGTTCCCGGCCCGCTCCCGCTGCTTCCCCAAGCTCCCTCGTCCCAATGCCTGTCTTCTTTCATTGTTTTTTTACTCGTTTCTTCAGTTTCTTTTACGAATTCATGATGATCAGTATCCATATTCTTTTGAGCCGACTGTGAGCGTCACCCCTTGTCCTTGGCAGCCAATTTATGTATTTATTCCTATCCGTTCTTTTTTTTCTTTTTTCAGGTAATGATTACATTTGGGGGACCGGCAAAGTAGGAGTCAAGTGTGAAGGTACGTAAAAGATCAATCGCTTGCCTGTCTTTCATCCCTCACATTTATTGGTCCACTTTATGTAGTTATTGAATTAATCTCAATTATTACTCTAGAAATAGCATAACCTCCGTTTACTTTTGTATGGAAATTAAATGATGGATATCCATTTCTCGTATCGGACTGCGGCAGTGTGTACGGATTACATTCGACTACGCTGGCTCGTAAGTTCCAAAGACTCTGTGGATACCGGATGCGTAGGGCGCGAGATCCCGCGCCCCGGTCGCATGCGGGCGTATTTTAACGAGGCCGCTCGTCTTCCCTGCCAGCTCTCTAAAAGACGCTCGGCGGGTGATGTAACTACTCGTTCCCCGGTCGACCGACGTGCCCACTTCGCAGGCGTCGTAGTGGCGCTCTACACCGGTAGATGTTCCGCCATTTTGCTTATCGCAATTAATGATCCCGTGCTCAGCTAGTGCGTGCATCCTGTCTGCCTGTCGTTCGGTCGGCCTGTCGACCTGCCTAGCCGGGCGCTACGCCACGGCGCGTTGCCACTGCCGTGCGCAGCCTGCCGCTTTGCGCGCGCTGTCGCTGCAGCCCGCAGCACGCGAGGCGAGTGAGCGAGGCGCGGCGAGGTAGGTAGCGCGGGCGGAGCGGGGCGAGGCGAGGCGAGGCGAGGCGAGGCACGGCGCCGCGCTATGCTTTGGGACAGGACGGGGAGGGGTGGAGTGGGACGGGACGGAGAGGAGAGGAGAGGAGAGGAGAGGTGGGGCCGGGGATGAGCGGGGCAGCGGGAGCAACCTAACCTGTGGCTGGCAACGAGCGCCGGAACGCGAGGGCGGGCGCGGGGCGGACGGTGTAGCGAGGGGGCGGGGACCGAACGCTGGGCGGTGGAGGGGCGAGAGAGCAGTGGGGCCAGCTGCGGTGGCAATGGAGGAAGGAGATGGAGGTTGTGTCGTGGCGGCGAGCGCCTGATCGAATAAAGCTTCCGAGGGTGGCCGCTAGAGCGCAGAAGCGTGTTGACGGCCGGGGGCAACGGAGCGATCAGCTGAGGACGGGTGCCGCTGCCGGAGTCGGCTGGCGCTCGCTCCGGCGGAGGGTCGGCATTTGTGTTGTGCTCGGGCGGCTCATGAGATGTGCGCTCTGGTTAGGAGCCTCGCGTAGCTAGGCGTATGTGTGCGACTGTGCGCGGCAAGCCCATGGGGTAGCGAAGGCAGAACGGCGGATACCCTGCAGCACCGGACCATCCATGTATATTCAATGTTCCACCGTCGCTGGAACTGAATCGAGGCTCTACCATAACCTCATGAGCGATCTTGTGATCGGTGACAGGGGAGCCGGCGGCGGAGTACTCTATCAGGCAATGAAACGTGGGCCGCAGAAGCAGATAGTGCACGAGCCTAATATTCCCGTCGACAACAACAATACCAGCAACAACGGCAACGACGGGTCGGCAACCGTGCTGGACAACAGAAACCTGGACACCGGCGCGGACAACAAACATTACGAGCCCAAGATGCCACCCACTTTAGCCGTACCTCCACTTCTGAACATCGATTCCGACAACTACATGCTCCGAGGTTCGAACACCGAGACCCGCCAGCGCTCATACAGTTTCACAAACGGCACCAACAGGCCCTCCGGCGTCTCCGTCTTGGCACAACACCAGTATCACGCGAGTAAAAGCCCTTTGGATTTGGACATGTTTAGTATACGCGAAACTGTGAACTCGCTGGCGGTGGCGCTGCGCCCACTGTCCCGCAGTGCCAGCCCTTCGCCGCCGCCTCCTCCGCCGCCGGCCTCCCTTACGCCCGCCCCCGCCACCGCAGCGACCACCGCAGCCGCCGCCGTTGCTGCCGCTCCCGCTCCCGACTGCGCCCGGATCCCTTCGTTCCACACGCTCCATTGCACATGTCATTTATCTTGCTGCTGTATGTGTGCTTCGTTTTGTTCTGCAGACTGTCACGCCTGTTTCCACGCCGTGTGTGTGAGGTTCGCGGGTAATCATGTGTGCCAGAGAAACAGCGAGGTTCTACCGCCCTGCACTCTCAACAAAGAGACGGTGAGTACTTAGAAACGCATTCATATACCCTTTCTTACACGTTCGCTGTGAGGACCCCCCCCCCCCTCCTTTCTTTGTGTTTGAAAGTAAGTCGATATGTACATGGAAAAAGGTTATGTGGTCCATGTATATATATACCCCGGCTTTCTTTCCTTCACCTGGAAACAAGAGCAGGAGTCCGTGGTGAGAAGTGAACGATTCTCGTACGTTTCTTCGTTTTGTGTGCGTTTGGGTTCGTGCGGGGCGCGTTGCCGGCTCGGCCTGCGTTCCGCGGTGGACGCTCGTTACCGCAGCTCCGCCGCGAGCCAGCGCCGCCGTGCGTCTGCGCGGGACGCTCCGCTTTGTCAAATCGCCGCGACGCGATCGCCAGAAAAATGGCTGGGCTTACCTTACCCTGGACAAAGAGGGGTTTTTTTCCATTTTATTGAATATATTTCTTCTGAGAGAGGAGTAATAGTGTCCCCCCAAAGTGTGCGTTCAGCGTCTCGCGACAGCTCCTTTCTGTGGCGTTCGCACGATCGACCCGTCGGCGCCGACGAGAGCGACGGGGCCGGACGAGTTGCAAGGTTCGTGCCCCGAATCTGACGGGACGAGAAGAAAGCGCCCCCCTCCCTCTCTGATTTCCGTGTCTCCCTGCAACAGGCCGACCCCGAAGTGCTGGCGCGCCGGTCGACCCACCCACCCGCTCGTCCGCCTGGACACGCGTCTTCCTCGCACGGCTTTGAATACCCACAAATTGTATTCGCGAATGGAACGAACCTTGCGTTCTCCAGATCGATATAAAATTGCTGGAAAGGAACTTCCGTGCTGCATTGTAAATATGAATGTTGGGGCTTCATTTGGACGATTTCAAACCCATGCGTAAAATTTGTGATTAGCAGTTTTCATCCTTTTAACATACAACATAATAGTATATTCCAGGCTTCTATTTGTCTATACTTCATCATTGAGAAGAGCTAACTTTCCGGAAATTATGCTTATTTGCCAGTTCTGTTTTGATCTCATTCTGTTAATTTCGGAAGTTTGTTGTGAACGAACACCATTTTTAAGATCGATAAGAAGGGTTCATTTGTCTCCAGCGAGACAGTAAATATAACAATGTTGTAACTTATGTAATGATCGGTAATTGTTTGGATTGCCATTGTTTGGATGAATCACTAAAATTATTGATGTTCAATTTTTACATGGAGATGGTTAACCTGTTTCACGACAAAAATTGAGATTACCATTATACGCAATATACGGAAAATAAAAATAACGAAGCACCGTGAAATCATTGCTATTTGATACCAAAAAGGTCTTGCCCAGTATTTTTTATTTTTAAAATTTACATCATGTTGGTTATTTCTCATGACGCTGGTTCTTTGCATAGTTTCTTTCTGGATACTTAAAACCGTATCATTCCCTTTAATGATATTTTTCATCATTCTTCGAGTGTGAGACTTAAATCTAAGAAAATAAAAATTTTGCTGACGAACGATTAATGGAAGTTAACATTTATTCGAGGAGCTTGTGTGTGAGTGTAGTTCATTCCTGATCTCGAAGCATTTGATTTATATATTGTCAGTATTTTAGTTCGGTCACGAATTCGTGACATTTTGAGAAGCTTGGCTTTTTTGAAAAGCTTCACTCCAGAGACTACTACCCCCTGTAAAGTGGCGCGCCCCCTCCGAGCTCGCAAGAGCGTTTCACGGGTCGGCTCGCCTCGCCTCGCCTCAGTATCGACGCGGGGGCTGCCAAGTGGATTCGCCGCGCGGCTGCCAAGCGCCGGCCACTCCACTCCGAAGACGCGCAGAAGCACGCCAGAAGGCCGAGGCAGCGACGCGGCTCGGCGGATTCCCGGCGAACGCGTTTCGATCGTCGCCCGCCGAGGCCCCGCTACTGTGGCTTTGTTCCTCGCCGACGTGCTAACGGGGCCGCCCCGGGGTCGGGCTCCGTCCCCCTCGCTGCCCGTGTCGGAAGTCCTCGATACGCCCGGTCGACGACGCGTCGCCGCAGATAGAACTAATGCTCCACTCTGGGAAGCGGAAATAAAGGAGGGGAGCGGCACCTTGCCCCCTTCGTTACCGCCGCCGCCGCCGGCGGGCGGGCGGGCGAGTGGGCGGGCGCTGCCAACCGTCCCGGTCCTCTACCCACTTACACACCTCCCCCCTCCCCCTTCCCCGTTCATGCTCTCTCGTCTACACTGTTTTTAATACTGGATTTGGCATCCAGAATTTCCATTTGCTTATACGCTCCTCAGCAGCTTACTCGTTTATTTTTTTACTCCTGTAACCACCACTAACCTTTTCTCCCGCCCTTTGCAAGCACCCACTATAGCTCTCCTAAGTCCTCGTATTATCGAAATCATTTGATTGTTCTGTTCTGCGTTTATAGAATTTTTGTTTGCTCTGAAATCGAAACTTCCAGTGTTTTCGGGCTGGCGTGGCAAAGCTTGTGCAGTTTAAGTGACTGGGACCATGCCAAAGACGAGTGTTAGTAATTTTGATTGGGCCGTGTTTACCTCGCTCACCCACATATCCGCGCGTCCATTCGGTGCTTTGTGTCGGGTCGAAATGCGTCGGGCCGAGTCGCGTCGCGTCGTGTCACCTCGCGTCGCTCTGGGCAAGCGCGGCCGTCGGGTGCCCTGCTGGGGTGGTGTTTCCCGCAGGAAGGCTTTTCCTTTGTTCCCCCTGTCCGTGGAGCTATCGGGTGGGCGCGGGGGGTAGCGAGGGGAGGCGAGGACGGCCGGTCGACCGGTCCGCCGGCAGAGGGCTCGCTCAGCTGGGAGCAGGGTGCGCGGCGCGCTCGCCGCGCACGCCGTCGCCCGTGGGGTTAAGGCGCTTGCGTTTGTCCGCGGAGAGGGAGCGCCATGGCGCAGGCAGCTGATCGGGCTGGATTGCGCTTCGGCCACCCCGCACCTCTGCAGGAAAGGAGAGGAAATGAAGAAACTGAATTAAATACGAATGTAAAAATAAAATTTGTCTTCAGTGTAACCCTATGCTCCTTGGCCCTTTACGCAGTCATCTACTTTCTGTCGCCTTTTGTTACTTTCTCGTATAGGAAGTACACTGAAAGTTATGTTATGTTGCAGGGAAAAGTGCACACTTTCCGTCCAAAAAACGCGTTTTGAGGTTTCCTGTTGTCGAAAAAACTGGCTTTTTTTTGGCTTGCTTTTTTGTGTAGTAAATTACTTTCTCTCGTATGCGTTGCAGTCCGAAATCCATGTTTGTGAATCCTTAATAGCGACAAAAAACATCTGTCGGTCCGTCTGCGTGTGCCTGTCAAAGTTAACGCCTAAACCGTTCCCAGACTTTTCTTCAAAATGGATCTTATCCAGTCTCTCTGGCTCCCAATAAAGTCCTACGAATTTAAAACCGATTTGGAGGGCGGAGGAGTCTGTGTGTTAAAAAAGTTCAGATTTCCGAAATGCATAGTTCAGTTTCGTCGAACCTGTCCTACAAATTTAATATTAAAGTTATAGACTTCTTTTTAAAAAAGCGATCTAATCCTTAATATTAAATCTTGAATCATTTCATGTACAATGCCTCGAAATAATAGTAGTTTTGAAATAACTTCGAGTTAGATCGTGATAATGTTGTGAGGTTGGACAATACTGTGGTTTATCAAATGTTTGCATGCTTGTTTCATTGCGCCGCTGAAGCGTAACGGTCTTCAAATTGGAACACCGGGGTTCGATTCTCGCCATTGCGTGGGCAACATCAATTTTTCTCAAATCTCCCCCCTCTCGCTGTGGAGTAGATCAAACTGCACTTATAAATATGGTATAGGTACGTTTTTCGTGATGTGTGTTTCACGAGATGACAAAAAAGGTATTAAGTTACAATTTGCAATATAATAATACGTGTGATATGTAATAGAAAGTATGTGCTGTTGAAGCTCCACTAGTTTCATTTTGTCACAGTTGTCATAGTGCTAGAGTACTTTTTGCGTAGGAACTGCTGGTGTTGCTCCATTACGACCTTTATGGGGCCTAGCCAGGATTTGTGACGAACGTAGGGGCAATTAGATGACCTATCATAAATTATCTAGTCCATAGAAAGTCTACAAGTTTTCACGATATTTAGAGTATTCAGTTACTAAATATTTAATACCTAGCATTTTCTATAGCGATCGATTGTGTTCTTTGTCAATATTTTATTTCATAGTTAGGAGACGTGTTATCATTCTTTTCCATTTTGTATATCTTGACCAATTCCTACGTCGGGGAGGCAAGCATTCGAAACCTTCATTCTGGTTATGTCTATGTATCCATTGTTAAATCAACTTGGCTGGAGTATCATGTACACCAGACAGTTGCACTAATTCTGTAGAATAGGTAAACTGAGCTACAGAAACGTTTGTGTACGAGTTCCATTATTTTACTAGTGAGTTATTTATTTCATTTTCTATGTTTATTTAAATAAGGGCAATTAACCTTTAATTTTTCAATCCCAATTTTATTCTTAGTTTGAAATATATGTAAATGCTTTTTGGCTGGAGACACACATTAGAGAAAAGATAATGATTCAATAATCTCGACAAATCGAAGATATTTTGTTTCCTATTAAATCTGTTATAGAATTGTGTGGTTACTCTTGGAAACTGAAAACTGGGGTTAAGAGGCTCCATATTCTTACGAATCCCATGAAATTAGGCCTCATCTCGATTCTATATCTCATGTGGATTTTTGTGTGGTTCTACACCTACAAATCAGCAAGATTATAGCCCCATTCTGGTTTAAATTGACCGAGAATATATTTCACTTGTATTTCACTCACCTCCATAATGTGCGTTTTTTACTTTCTCGCCATACGAATTTCTTTGTAAGGCGAGACTGTTATGTAATCGTGCGCCAGAAAACGGCGAATTTCTGTCATAAAAACTCTTATTTTATTTAAGTTTATTTTAAAGACAATGCTGCAAGTGCGTGCGTACATTTGCAC